TGCGCCATTTATCTCATTTTGGATAAAAAAAATTCGATTTCCCCAGAGTCATGCCACAACCTAACCCGCGAACAGGCATACTCTGGGAACGAGATTGACGTGAAGATTGAAGAATCAGAGGTGAAGAATTAAATACGAAGGATTTGACTCATTTGAAAAGAATATTATTGTGCAGATTATAAAGGAAACTGATTGAATGATCCTGTAGCAGTATAAATTGGGAATAATGCTGAGTTCTGTCCAGTTTGTTCACAACTCAAGCTAGTCAAGCAAGAGAAGGAAAATATAAATAACATGGATGGTCTTTTTAATGATTTTGAGAACGATGATATTACTGTAGAAGACTTTGAGCGACTAGAAAGTGAAGCATGGGAGAAAGCTGACGTGTTGGAGAAAAACTCAGGAGACAAGAAGACAAACAACAATATAGCATGTCTGGATGTCACTAAGGATCGTATTAATACAACAACATTGAACTCAAGCAATGAAGCAAGATCTAACCCAAGTCAGAGAACAAATCAAATACAGACTGGACCTAAACAACAAGTTGCTGATGAGTTTCAAGTGAATTATTTCAACAAACAGTTTCAAGGCACACAAATGCAGCAACTTGCAAATCAGCTTGAGGAATACAAGTTGAAAGTAGAGGAACTTGAGAACAGTCTTTGTATGAAAGATGGTCAGTTGAAGGTCGTCAAACAAAATTTGGATGCGCGGCGTAGGGAAGTCACTGAGAAAGAGAACACAATTGTGCAACTAAGGAAGGAACAGGCAGAAGAGAGATCCGAACGTAACTGTAAGTTAAGTCAAGAGGTAAAAAAACTGAAAACACAACTGTCCTTTCAAAAACACGAATTGATGAAGCTAGAAACACATAAAATTCAATCTCAGAAAGTGTCCAATTCTCAGAATGTGTCTAATAATGATCAGAATGTTCCTTATTCTCAGAAAGATGCTGGACCTCAGAAAGTGTCTGGGTCAGTTAAACGAAAGGCTGAAGTTGCAACAACAAGTCATGGGTTTGATTTAGATAATTCATTTCATGATTCCCAGATGTCTGGTTGTAAGCTTCCACAAGGAAAGGTCCCTAGGCTTGAAGAGATGAATGATCATGGGAAAGTGGAGAATGTCCGTGGAAGACAACCAAAGTCTCGAGAAAGGAAAACAAGTTTAGTGTGTAGAGCAAGCACCAGCAACATGGACAAACCTACAGGAACAAAATCATTGACTTCATATAAGACAAATCAATCTTCTCTGGAGAAACCAAACACTGCAATAAGTTTGATTAAAACAAGAGAAACAACTTCATTAAAACCAAGAGAAACAAGTGCTGAAAATCGAGGTAGTAATAATCAACTCTTAGAACCAAAAATTGTAACCCCTAGTGAAAAGAAAGTTTGCAATCTCGTGAAGAAACTTGTACTTTCCCACACTTGTGATAGCGGCTTGAATGATGCAAGTCCAGATTTTGAAACAATGAGTTTGTTGACTTTGCTGAAATATCCTCTGAAACACCTTCCCGAGGTTTTGAAAGCTCATTCTGTTGATGCAAATGCTGATCAATCTTTGTCCCAGTTCCCCACCTGGCAAACTCGAGCAGCGGACAGTAGTGATCTCGCAACTGATGAAGAGCTTGATTTTGATTCTGGGAAATATAACCTTGTATCACAGGGAATATTTTTGTTGCTTGGCCTCTCAAATTTGACAGAGAAGAATGTTGATACTTTGGGAGTTATCCATGTTTTAGTATTCTTGGAATTGTACATTACATCGTACCTATTGACAAAACAAAGAACTGACGGACATGACAGTAAAGCCGAGGCAAGGAATCTTTGTGAAGAAGGTTCTACACATGGAGATTCTACGAGTGAAAGTGAGGCACAAAAGACATCATTTGATGAGCAGGAGATGATCCTACAAACACTCCAGATTCTGAAACTGTTGTTCTACTCTACACCAGATCTTGTGAAATGTATCTTAGATAGGACAAGTCCTGCACTCTTCAAAGAAGATGATGAAGTGATTGTTGTTTATGATTCAAAAAAAGCTGAGACTAAGGAAGGGCTGGAAGAAGATGAAAATGTGCAAGGTAATCTTGTCCTTTTGTTTGAGAAAGATTGGACTACTATCTGCTACTCACAAAATTAACCTATTAAAGTGCAAAACTCAGTTCCCTGGTGGGTAAAATCATCTGGCGCATTAGACAAAGTAAAATAATAAAGTACTGTGTACATTTGGGCACATTGCTGCGTATGCAAGCATGGTTTCTGCAAGGTTTCATGACCCTGTCTAACCATGTTCTATTATAGTGTTTGAAGAGAATGCTGTTGGGTCATTTCGTTCAATGCTATTGAAGAATTTGCAAAAACTTCTTGTTCCCCTTTCAGTAAGTTATACTGTAATACACCCTTCCAGAACGTATATTACTTTTAGCTATAGAGCCCACTTTTTGTGTATGTGGACATCAGTTAAAGCCTATGTCTCAATCACGAAAAAGATGTGGTATAGCCAAGGTGTCATACTTTCCGTAAGCATGTATTGTGTAGTAATGTACCATTCCAGCGCATGTACATTGATGTGGGACATCATTATTTATTTGATGTGTGTATTTTAGGATGATAAGTCATCTCTCTTAGTTTGCCATGCTGCACTAGAGGTTGTTATTGCAATGACATCATTATCTGACAATACCCAGTTGGAAAGGTGGGAAAGCAGAATTAGGTTTTGTGCATTTGTTATTAGTAGTAGAGCTTTCAACTTGAAGCTTTTCATATATTTTCCAAGATTAGTAAAAGCTACTTCAATTTCTATTTATTTAGTGTATTTATTCTTTTAAACTCTGGGTGTCTTGTTGACCTTTTGGCAAAAGATGATTGTACCATGTCAACAGTTTCACTTGTGATGGCACTAATAACCAATTTCCTTCCCTGCAAAGATGTGCACAAAATGCTGTGTTCACATACAGGTAAATGAAGTTGTGCCTCTTCTTTTCAATCCAATTAGAATACTTTTGAAAGCAAGTTTTCTTGATTCTAGATGATTGTATTTTACTGAAGATCTATCAATGTGCTTGTGACGAGGAGGATGATGGTGGGGAAAATTGGAATAAATTTCTTCTTCAGGCAAGTGGAAACACTTCTTTTACAATATTTGTGGTAAAGCATTTTGTGGCAATAAGATCAGGACACTTGGGAAATGTTGACACTTGCAGCTGCACGAAAATTGAACTATTTCTTGATTCTATTGCTTTACATAAAATGAAAAAGATGAGCATTATTTTTTGATATGTTGACCTAGGGGCCTAAAACAAAGCCATATGGTTTCTAGTAGGCTCCTAGCCCATCTCTTGTAAATAGTTTATTTCTTTTATGTACAATTTCAATATCTTGGGCAAATCAGCAAATAAAGTAAATAAATAAATGAACTCAATGGTAGTGAAATCCACTGGTATGTATATAAAAATGTTTAAACATTGATTTTTAACATAACATAATTTTTTTTTTTTTTGCAGTTCTTTCAATTTGTAATGATGGTTGGATTCACTCATGGTGATTCTGTGGAGTTTTTGCTCGAATCAGATTGCCAATGTAGCTTTGAGGTGAGTTATTTTCTTACTATACCGGTATTTCTATGAGTCACCTGGGATTTAGTTCTACCTGAGCTCACAACACGAAATATTTTCTTATGTTCAGATCATTCGTTGTCTTGTGCTAGTTCTGTATGACAAAGTGAAATATCTCCTAGATATGGTGGATATTGAACAAGTCATATCAAATGAGAGGTAAATGCTTATAAACATTAAATGTGTAAATGTATTACCTATTGAGCCCCGGTAGTCGATCTCCCCTTGATGAGTGTAGTCATCTGGTGGTAATTGATCTGTGTAAAATAATGAAGTGCAGAGTGATGTAACTTAATGGGTAAAGTGAATACACTAATTTCAGTTGTCATGTCAGTTCTGTAGTTATAACTTGTTCTGTGTGTTGTCCATTGTTGCTATGAAGAAATGCATTCGTCATTTCATTTATATTTCAGTCTGCCTATCGTGAGGACTGGACTAAATCTTTTGGTGATTCTGTGTACCCATGCGCATTACTCTCCTGATCATAAACTGCATGTGGAACACGAATTCACTGAATTGATTTATAAATCTATGAATTTGTTCAAGAATATCAGACCTTACATGCCTGAACTTGAAGGTGAGTGCCAGGGGCCTGTTATATGATGGCTGGATTGCGATTTTTTCAAGCTTTCTAAAATTGGTCATTGTAAAGTATTTTATATTTATTTGTATTTTTGGCTGATGTTACGTATTCCACACTGGGCAAGCTGAAAGTATGGTGGGAATCGAACCCTTTGGCTGGCTATTAAGGCTACGTTCACTCTATAGCTTTCCCTAGCGGCGTGAAAAATCACTTTTTTGATACGGAATGTACAACTTTCAGAAGCTGAGCGAAACAACATCTCTCCGTTGCAATAATTCCTCCAATGTGTTCTTTCACGTCGATACGCAAAGCTATCCGTAACCGGCAGTGTTAAGCCGGTTTTCCACTTCAACCGTGTCGTAGCGTAGCGTATTTCTTTGTTTCCTGACCACTAGTGTGGAACTATTGACTTCGACACAAAAGAAAATGCTACGATACGTTACGATTGAAGTAGAAAACAGGCTTAAAGACAGTTTTCCACTTCAATCGTACTGAAACGTAGTGTATTTCTTTTTTTCGTGAACGGTAGAGAGAAACTAATGACTTCGACACAAAAGGAAATGCTACGGTACGATTGAAGTGGAAAACATGCTTAAACGTAGACCAAGGCATTTGGTTCACAAGTAAACCAAAGTCAAAGGTTCGATTCCCACCACGGTCAAGCTACTTTCTTGCATAGTGTGGAGACTACACGACAAGCAGAAGACTTAAATTCATGTTTATTCCTTGTTCAGCACTCGCGCTGCAAGACCTCCTGGATATGGAAAATGTTGATGAGATAGAGTGGTCCTCGGGTTCTGAAGATAACGGTAGAGACGACGATGATGAAATCATTGACATGGTGTTTGATTGAATATAACATCAAGCAGGGTAGGACTATGGTTTGGAGAGGAAGATGACGAATCTGATTAAATAACATCGACCAAGGTAGGACATTTATCTGTGTGGCAGAGCCACTAAAGCAGGAGTAATAATATTCACACTGACTAATAATATTAGTAATAATATTCATATTCACTGAAATATTTATTTTACGAGCTTTCGACTGCCAATCAGTAGTCTTCACTGCCAATCTTCACGACCATTACAATTACATATACGGAACAAAAAAACATGTGAGTTCATTAGGCGTAACTGTCAATTCTCGTCGCATGTTTTTGTTCCGTATATGTATAAATTGCGGTAGTCGAGAAACTAAATAAATAATTCAAACCAGAGAGAGCATCTGAACACTATGAATATGATGAATAATCCTGGTTTTTAAAAGGATAAACATTGTTCAAAACTTGTTATATTAGTTACCATAGATATTAAAACATATTCTAAATGTTGAAGAAAATATTATAGTACATCTAATATTCTTCTGTTTTTACTTCAAACGCATGATGTGTTCGTATTGTTGTCCAGTGAACCACACCAAACTGAGGTCAGAGGGTGTTTTGTCATGTCGATTTTTGAAGCCTGAAGAACAATCTTCTGTACTGAAATACACCTGCAGACCTGCTTATCCCGTATTCATATCATGTTCACCTTATATTCCGCGTATTATCCAGCTCATCCATATTTCACACGTGATTATGCCCTTGTGTTCCTAACATGCCATATTTATCCAGTGATGAACCAATATCCTCCTCCTGTGTTCCTAACTATCCATAACCTTATGTTCATTCTTCTCCATCTTTCACCCATGATGACCCTATAGAATCCTCTTATATTCCTAATTATCCATAGTCTTGCGTACAGAGTCCAAGACTGACTGATTATAAACTGTATCTAGTTCCCTCTCGTACTCTTGTCTTCTTGGAGCTGGGAGTATGGCTTTGCGTGATATGCGCATGCGTCCTGTTGCTGGATCTCGCCCGAAATATTTGACTCTGATTGGTTGATCTACCTCTAGACCCAGGACCTCGTGACTAAATATCTACAGGAGAAATGAATATGTTTTAAGCTTCATTTAATTGGTGGTGGCAAGTTAGTCTGTTGACAAACTTTGTTTGCTGGATCGCGGTTCTAACTGGTTTCAGGCAAATATTCAGACAACATTTTCTCGGCAAATTTTTTGGTGTTTTCTCTTTGAATGGTTGAGAGGTTTTGGTTGTAGAATATGACATTCTTACCTTGCGATGATCAAGTTGCGCATTGTGTAACAAAGCTGGTGGCACTCCGGGTAATAATTCAACCATCACACCATATGGTCTGCAAGACATGTTTGTGTGATGAGATCATAGATTAATGTAAGTAAACATTGAAAGTTGTTTCATTTACTTACTTTAGTTCAACAATGCGACCTTCATATATCGCGCCGTATTCCAACAACGATTCTGGATCCTGCAAGAAATGTATGTAGCAGTTAATAAAGTTGACACTTTAAAAACATCTGCTACAGTGGACGATGCCGGACGAGCTTCTATACTCACCTTGTTCAGGAGCCACAAGATTAAAAAAATTCGCCAATTTAATGAAATTGGGAAGTTCAGTTAGCCTGTGACATTCAGACTGGAGTTTTTAGCTGGTGCCTAATTTTTCTTGAGAAAAGTTTTGAAGTTGAACAATCTTTTATATATATAATAGTTACGTTTTGGCTGATCTAAATTGTGAAATTGCTG